GATACACATACCTAAATAAAATAAATCTTTTGTTTCATTGTCGAAGTGCCAGTCACCGTAATCGTTGTTTTCATATGTCAACATGTTCATAGAATTGTTTCTACTGACATCAGTGGTTTCAAAGTGGTCTGGTCTTTGTGTGAGGTTGTGGTTTATGATAACAAAATCACCATCACTGAATCCATCAAACCGTGAATTATATGTAATATTTGTTACATGGTCAGCATGCTCAAAAAAGAAATTATATGTGTCACCGTCTATTAGGGTAATCATCCAGCCCTCGGGATGAGTGATACGTTTCAGGTGGTAAGGAATGCGACTAGTTCCGTGTTCATTGGTAAATAGAGTGTCCTTGTACTTGAGAGAGGTTGGCGCAACCCCATTAAATGACATACGATGAAGTTTTATGGTGTTATCACAGGAGGCTCCTGGAACACCTAAACTATATGCGTCGTCTCTTGAGCAATGGTCTGGCGGAAGGTTTGGGTTGTCAGGCAAGACAATGTGATTAGCTGTACCAGTAAAGCTGCCGTCTAAATCCTCGTACCAATATTCGTGTTCCCATTTGAAAAATGCTTTATTTGGAGAATTACTGAATACAAGATTTTTGGTTCGAGCTTGGAAGCCTCCTTGATCTGGCTTGCAGTGTGCGCATGAACGAAAAGTAGCACAACAATCTTGGTCAAAGTTAATGAATTTTACTCCATCAATTGTTAGACCTTTACTCTTTGGGCAATGAACACCTGCTTTAGTACATGTATATGATCTGTTGCTATGTGTGAGGGCACTATACCCAATCACCACTGAGTCTTTAATTAGGGCACCATCGTTATCAAAAGGAATACCACTATCAACTACTTGATATTCAAACCCAGCTTGATCGGCATCAGAAATAAGGAAGTCATGGAACTGCACACCACCTACTTCAAGAGCCTCTGCACCTCTTTCCACTTGCCAAGCCGTTAAACCATAAAACTTGGCCTGAGTTGGAGTGTTTGAATCACATCCACCGCCCTCCATTGGGTGGTACTCTGGAAAAATCCATAGTCCATACCAGCCAAAGGAGTGGGCTGAATTATTGTAAAACTCACCCATCACCATTTTCCGTGGACACATGGATGTGGTAAATGATGGCCCACCAGGGTGGTTTGGCATGTTGTACCAGTATCCAAAATGTGTTCCACCGGCAGCAGCATTGTGTCTCACGGTGTTGTTTGGATTTGTAACCCAGAATGTAGCAGGAGTTATGTCAACGTTGAGCAGACTGGAACTACTTTTCACAAAGATCCCTAGATTGTACTGTATGATGTTTCCCATTTCAATACCATCCTCCATGAAGTAAGCATGGCCCATAATGTCAAAAGCTACGTTGTGTTCTACTAGTAGGTTATCGACGGCATGAATCGTGACTGCACGATTGAATGTATGATGGATACCACAGCCACGGACATATGAACCGCTAACGTCACCGTTCAAATGGAAGTGAATTGGATAACGACCAAGACGAAATGCTTGTAGACCGGGAGCCCAGAAAATTTAATCATGTGAAAAGAGACAAAAGGTTTGATGGTCTGGTCATGGTAGTATAGGGCCAAAATACAATATTCAGTATTGCTGCCGGGGCGCATCCTGTACAAGCGGGCTGGGGGTAATGAAAAAGG